AGGCAATCAATTGGCAGCGAGTGGCGCGAGTGGGAGCACGTCGCGATGCAGGCTCGAGACGCCAGCCCTGCCGCCAGACGAGCATGAGCAGGGCCAGCAGGGAGCGCGTATGGCTCTGGCTGGTGCTTTTTGCTGGTGCTGGTGCTGGTGCTGGTGCTGGTGCTGGTGCTGGAGCTTGCTGGGGCCCGGAGTGGACGACTCCGCTTGCAGCGGCTAGCGCATGGACAGTGGAGGAAGTGCAAAGAGTGGGCAATGGGCAATCAACGGGCAGTGGGCAGTGGGCAGCGCAGGCAAGTATGTACAGTAGCACTATTAGGCAGAGCAACTTACAGGCCTAGAGCAATTGATCTCAGATGGTCTGGCGCCAAGCGGGGGCACAGAGTATTGGCTATAGACCCATCGATCATCAGCCGCATCGCTCGCACAGCACAGCCCGCCGCCGGCTGGGGGGAGGGGGGTGGGTGGGCGTCAGGAGGACGGCCATGCAACAGCACACTGGGGTAGACAGGCGGACGGCGCGCCTTGGTCCAGCATGGCGCCATGAGGTGAGCATGGCGAGGTGGGCGTCGTAGTCGTCGTCGTCTTTTGTGGTAGTGGTGGTGGTGGTGGTGGTGGTGGCCGTGGTTTGTGGGTGGGGGGGCCACAGGCAGGCTGTCTCGTGCCCTCGTCGTCCTCGGCCTGCCTGTGTGTGCACCAAGAGCACCACCACCCAGCACCACCCAGCACCACCACCCACCGGAGCAGCCGCGGGGCGGTTGCACCACCGCAAATGGCCCTGGTCAGCAACGCACACCACAGTGCGTGCAGTCGATCCCTGACAGCGCTGCATCTAGGGTGCCTAGGCGTATGCGAGCGATTCAACGGCTGGCGGGATCCAAGCATCCATGGGATGACGCTTTGGCACAAAGGCGCATGTGCTATTCCCGACTCGTGTCGCCCCTCCCCCCCACCCATGTCGCCTCTGGGAATTCTTGACTACCTCATGCTCCAGCCATGTTCACACTACCCCAAAGTCTGCTAAGGGAATCTCATGCAGCTTAAACAGCGCCGGGAAGCGAAACATGTCCTCGCCGCCCTAGCCCGCTCGCAAGCATACGTGTTTAAATACCTGTCACTTCCGCTTCTTCCCCGATGCAAGCGGCTTTTCACTCCCACCATTCGATGTGATCTTCGTCTACCATACTCTGTCGAAGCTCACATCCCCATCTCCCACACTCGTTGGCCGCCGCCGCCATGTTTCCCTTTTCACTGACCCTGTTCCCTAATTGGAGCTGGCTGTGTATCTTTGTCGTGCTTTTGTATGTTGACAATACCATCACCATCACCATCACCACTATCCCTCTTCTTCTTCTTCTTCCTCCTCCTCCCCCTCCTCCCTTCCCGCTCCCGGGACTACACTGACTCGCTACCATAGTTTGTTTCGTTATGTCCGTCTTTGGGTCAACCTCGCCAGCAACTGGACGTACACGCCCATGCAGCCTGTCGACGACCCAACAATCACCTCCAAGGACATGACAGTCATCATTCCCACCGTTGCCGAGGATCTCCAGCAATTAAAAGAGACGGTCCAAAGCGCATATCGCCTCGAGCCCTTTGAGTTGCTACTCGTCACGCCTGACTCGCGTGTTAAGCGTGTCTATCAGATGGTTGAAGAGCTCGGCAGCCCCAAGATTATTCAGGTCTTGTCCGTCAGCCAGGCCAACAAGCGTCGCCAGCTGTGCCGCGCCATTCCCGAGGTCGAGACCAAGATTACGCTTCTGCTCGACGACGACGTCTGGCTGCCTGAAAAGTTCACCAAATGGATCCTGGCTCCCTTTGAGGACCCACGCGTGGGCGGAGTTGGCACCAACCAGCAGATTCGCCGCTTCAACCGCTCCAACATTTGGGAGTTTCTAGGCGCCATCTACCTGGTCAGGAGAAATTTCGACTGCACCGCCTGCAACTGGATAGACGGCGGCCTGCCCTGCCTGTCCGGCCGCGCCGTGGCCTATCGATCGGAGATTTTGCAAGACCCCAACTTCACCTATGGCTTCACACACGAGACATGGGGCAGCGACCACTTCCTCAATGCTGACGACGACAACTTCATCACCCGCTGGCTGTTTTCGCACAACTGGAGAATTCAGATGCAGAACCACCGCGAGTGCGAGGTCGAGACGACACTCGAAGACGACACCAAGTACCTGCGGCAATGTCTGCGTTGGGTCCGTTCCAACTGGAGAAGCAACCTGACTAGCTTGACCGAGGGTTACATGTGGATGGTGAGTTTGCTAGTTCCAATATTTGCACAAATTTCGCGTCGTCGAGGCGCCAAGCCTGCCCCTCTTTTCACTAGCCGGCTGTGTGCATAATGACCCTTTTGCTGACACCACTTGACGCGACAGAGGTACCCATGGTCACTCTATGCCGTCTTCCAGACCACCGTCACGCAATGGGCGTTCCTGCTCGACTGCGCCCTGCTTGCATCGGCCTACTTTGCCCTCTGTGAGACTGGATACTACCCAGCCGACGAGGGCCAACTGTCGCGTGCCGACAAGTGGCAGCGCTCGCTTCTGTGGACACTGTTTATCGCGCACTGGGTCTTTGCAAAGACGATCAAGCTAGTGCCGCATCTGCTAAGGAACCCCGGCGACGTCCGCTTCGTGCCCGTCTCGATTCTCTTCGGCTATTTCCACAACCTTATCAAGCTCTACGGCTGCATCACCGTCACAGAGGTATGTTTGTCCCATCCGCCACCCAACATCCAGGCGCAACCAGCACCATCGCTGCCAACCCACCTTTTGAAACATGGCTGACATTTGTTGATCAGACTACATGGGGCACCCGTGAGGGCGCCGATGCAGACGACAACATCCGAATGTTGCCGATCCCGCCGATGGCAGCGATTACGCCTCCCCTGACACCTCCGCCAGGCGGACGCGTCCTCCGAGAGCGATGCGCCGGCTTCCCGATGATGAAGTAGACGACCGTTTCCACTTTTTGGTTTCGCATTCTGAGCCCTCGGCCACACTTTTATTTTTGATCTGGATGCCGCAGTCATGTTAGACGCATCCTCAGCCTTTGACCAGCCAATTTTTTTTTCAATTATTATTATCTCGCACTATTACTATTACTTTGGAGCATGGCCCGACATGTGCCAGGGGCATGCAAGGTAGAACAGCATTGTCTTGTTTCCTAGTATTTTTGGAGCGTGGCAGCTCTCGGATACCACCAAAAGGGGCCCGGTTGGGATGATTGCATGGTGTTTTGGCGTTTGACGGCGCGAGGCCGAACGAAATTTGCAGCGTCTTTTTTTTATCATTTTTTCCCTGGCCATGTCACGGAGTTGGTCAATAGCCAACCGTTGTAGTTTATGCAAAAAAAAGTTGCAAATGATATGGATTTTGTTGGACAGGCTGGTCGTCTCGCTTCGAGACGGGATTCGCGCAAATAGGACCAAAGTGGATGCCAACAAGACAAGCTGTTTCCCAAGCAACAAAGACAGGCGCACATGCATGGCATGCCGCAACCGCACAGCACCCTGGTCAGGTATCTGGCTTAGGCGTGTTACCCGCGCTGCACGGCCTACAGGTAGCGCGAACCATCACCCGCTCGCCAGCCCGATGGCTTCCAACTTGATCTGGAGCGTGAGCCGAGTCGAGGAGTGGTGGGCGGCATGTTATCTGAAGACGGACTACGCTACTCGGACCATGAAAGAGGGCCATGCAATGCAGGCCAAAGGGGAGTCCAAGACGGCAGGTGCGAAGGGGGGCCGTGTATGTATGTGTATGTATGTACATATGTGGCATGTATGTATGGATGTATGCATGTATGTGTATGTAGGCTGCGTACCCAGCCTGTAGGCATGGCGACGGGGAGGAAGGGAAGGGGGGCCCTTTTGTCGCAACGAACCCACTCGCACTGCAACCCGGGCCTGCACTCTGCACAGTGTCTGCACTCTGGGCACTCGCACTCTCCACACTCGGAGGCACTTCGTATCTCCGCGCGTGCGGCCGTCCGTCGCCTTGAGCCAGGGCGATGCAAGTACAAGTGGACGGCTACTACTCGACTACACTACACGTACCCGACTATACGTACTCGACATGGACAGCAAATAGGCGCTGCGGCGCCGTGGCTTTGGCCTCTCCCGCACGGCGCCCGCCCCTCGCCCCTCGCCCCTCGCCCTTCGCCCACGGTCCTTTGCCCACGGCGGTCGCCCATGGGCCCTTTGTGCCCCCCGCCAAGGCCTTCAGACGACGCCCTCCCCACTGACGACCTGTACGCCCACTCAAGCGGGCCTGCATGCTGCACGGCCTACTCGTAGTCGCGCCTCCAGGGAAACCTTGCCGGCGCCGAACTTCTCATGCACACTCGACTTCGCTTGCCTTCAGTAATCATCATTGTGCGTTGCGGCAATTTCACGCACACTACTACTTACTACCCTGCCCGCCCAAGACGCAACACGCCCACGCCCACGCCTACGCCCGCCCGCCGGGACGAGAGGAGAAGCATCAGCAAAAGCACCAGACGAGGATGCGCGTCGGCGTCAAATAGCCATAGCGAGTCAGCCTGTCGAGCGGCAGAGACCCTTTTTGTAGGCAAACCTTATGCTTGTCGTCCCGCTCCCGCAGGCCTGTGTGTCGAGAGGGCAACAAGCTCAGACGCTACCCTGGCGCCGACGGCGGCGCGACGCCAGGCCCATAGCTCTCCACCTCTCCACCTCTCGTCATAGCTGCCTGTTCGCTATCCCACCCCCGACTTTCCCCAGCAGAGACAACATCAAGCACCACCACGCTGTACACCTTTCCACCAACGCTTCGCGGCCAAGTATCTGCAAGCCTTGCTGTCCCGTGGTCCCCGATGCACTGCACCCTCGCACACGGCCTAGGCACGGACTCGCAGTTCGACGCTGGTAAGCCGTGCCCAAGCACCCCATACTACCACGGCGCGGAACATTTTCATTGGTGCTTCTGCCGATCCGAAATCCTCCAAAGGCTCAGGTGCAGCCTGGGCACGCGTGCGCGCCACACACACACACACACACCCACACACACGCACCTGCGCCCTTCCTGGTGCTTGCAAGTCCCTCGTAAAGTCCCTCATCGAGATGGCCTCTACTAATGCCAATCTAAGTACGCGGTTGCAACATGGCGCAATCACGTAGCCTGCGACACGCTTCACTGCACCCGTCAATTGTTGAAAGCTCATGTCGCCACCTGTCTGTGCTCGCCCTGCCTGCCCGCCCGCCTGCCCTGACAATAAGTCCTCGCCTAATATGTAATGCTGCTGATGATGATGATGTGGTTGCTATTGTTACTGTTATTGGTCTTACATATTCTTCTGGTTGCCATTTGTCGTCTCCCACGTTGCTCGTCACCACACATCCGCATCCATACAGCCGGGTCCCAGGCGAAAACTCTGCACCCCTTCGCTTCACGCGCGACACACGCTTTCGGGTTGCCTGTAAGCACTCTGGACTCATCGCATATATTTCCCTTTATCTGGCTTAGGAAATATGCTTCCGCTCCCTTATACCCGTCACACTGCAAGGGCATACACCTCGTCAACCCCACTCAATCTTACTTTGGCGAAAGTGGGCTGGACTCGTCAGACCAATATGACGATACCAAGGACAAAGCATTTCCCCCTTCCAGCCAACCGCTGCCGACGGAATTGTCTGGTAGTAATTGACTGTCTGACGACATCGGACATGGAACCTGGCACAAAAAAAAGGCCTGGGCCTATTCAATACTTTGTACCAGGCTCTCTCATGTCGGCCTGTTTCATCTGCTCATGATCATGTCACATTGTCTGACACCATGGCCGCTAGGCCGCATCCGGTCGTGCCGAGCACTGCGCTTTGAAGAATCTGGGGTGGGGGTGCTTGCGCAGTAAACTTGGAATTCGACATCTGCAAAGCGAAAACATTTCCCGATTTCATCACAAACAATCGACGTGCTCGGCCTTGCGTCTGTCCGAAATGTCCAAAAAAACTTGTAAATTTTTGGACATGTCTGGTGCAACAAATTTTCTCCGGCGCCGTGCATGGATGTACTTACACACGTAGTAGATATTGCATCTTGGGGGTCCATCGACGTCACGAAGCGGACGTGTCAAACGTAGTAGTGCTCGTGCCGAGCCGGTCCTGAACCGAGATCGAGCTACAAGTGCAAGCACGACCTGGAACTGGTCCCATGTCAGAATGGATAGATGCAAACCGACGATGGCTGGCCACAGGCGACTGCGGGAGATCTTGCGGCGAAACTTCTACGGCCTGCATGCTCAAAGGGTGTGACATGGCATTCGCAATATCTACCCGGATCACGTGCCAAGTCTACATCTAGTCATTCCAGGAACGCACCTGCATAACTCACTGTCGTGCCCGGGAATCATATCGTCATTGTTGTCTCTTTGCGGCGCCAACTCCACTGCTTGCGCGTCGAGTAGCGCCGTACGAAAGTGTACTTCTGCGGACACCCCTACTAGCATCTATGGCCTCGGTACAATAGCGATGGGTCCGATCCTGGCCGATCCAGGGTGCGCTAAAACATCCCTAAGAATTGCCTTTTCCATGGTTCGTCGATCTTCGCAAGATGACGACGTCCGACAACGCTCTTACAGTAAACCTTCATTTGCGTCCCCACACAACCACGACGCAAAACTATCATCCCCCTGCAGCTGCACGTCAACGCTGCGCGCCACTAAAGCCACACTTGACCCTCAGCCGCATCTCCATCTCATTGACCAGGAAACCTACCCTCTTGAGCAGCGCGCTGACGGGCGGCCCTTTGGCCCGAGCGAGCCACAGCGCGTATTACTACTCCACAGTAATAAACGCGCTAAAATGTCGTGCAGGGCGACTGAGCCCGTCGCTGACTCGACGTCTGTCTGGATCAAGGGTCTTGCCTGTCTTCTCCACAATCACGGCTACACTCGCTGCGTCCAGACTTTTCAACCCCACCCTTTTCTTTCTCATGTTAAAACTGCCGGATAGCCTCTCCGTCTCAGTCGAATTTAGGCGTTCTATCCCGCACGAGTCAGCGTTTGATGTTTCGTGTAGTCCATCTCAGCACCACGGCACCTTTGACGCATACATACTATAACATACTTGCATTGCCTGATAAGACGCGGTACGTATCCTTTAGCCACGTCCACTAACGGGTGCTGACGGATGATGGGCAAACGGGTGTGGATACGGAATCATCTAGTGCTCAGCAAATCTCTGCCCGTGCCAACTTTTGCTCACAATTCTGAGGTGACACTCGCGACCCAACAAGGGTGACCCACTTTCAGACCCTCTCTTTTGGGAATACCGAAAAGCATCTTCCGCCCACTGGTGGAGTTACTAGAGGCGCGGATCGGGAGTGTTGGACACGTTGAGCCACTACAGTGTCACAGCTTCATGGTTACAGGGCCGACGGCTTTTTTCCCTTCCTACTTGGTACATGCTGCGACATGCCGATGCCTGCCCCTCGGCATAGGCCGTCCACACGCCGCGCCCATCACATGCGACGCCACATACATTTTAAATGCATGAGATAGTGCAGAGCCTCACCCACGTCTTACGCACGAAAGACAGGTTTGTTTGTTGAGCTGCGCGAGCCACGTTCGGCCCTTCTCCGGTCCTCTTTCCTCCGCTTACCCCTCCTTCGCTTCCACTTTTCCCACTTTGACTTCGGGAAATACTTGACAATAGCGATGCAGTTTTTTTTCCCTCCAAAAGCACGTCAAGTAACGCAGGGAAAAAAACTTGCCAAGCTTCAACGCAACCCGGTTTCATCTTCGCAAGCGGAACTATACTACGGTTTCAACTGACCTCGTTTGTGGACGACGGTTGTTTCCAGCTACCCCACATTTTTTGTCAGCTTTCACGGGCCTGCAGTTGAACACTTGTCCTCCACATGTGGCTGGCAGACACGGGACAAGTAAGCGCCTGTCGCTTGCCCTGGTCGGGAGCAATTGCCTTTTCAACCCACGTCAATACTTTGCCGGCCGGCGTGCGTGTAGAGACATGCAAGAAGTATCTCCGTCGTGCCCTCGTTGGCCTGACACATTGCTATGGGTTGCGCCCTTTTTTAGAACTGTGAGGCCTAGATGCAGGCCTCGCAGATGCTATACACCTAGACTGCTGCTCGTGGACCCCCGATTAATCCATATGCATGACATGCAGCTAGTGTATTTGCATTTGCATCGCTAAGACTTGAATCGACGATGTCCTATCGCGCCCCTGTCAGTGAAGGAAAGGTATCCCCGGCCAATGTTTTCAGACTGGATATCTACATATACATGGAGTACTGATTATTTAGAAATCCTAACAGTCTACGCTCTCATGCACTCTACCATTGAACGGTAGTTGGTCGAATTGTTTACTCGAGACGGTTAGGAGCTACAGCCCCTGGGCTACGAAGCCTTGGCAAGTGTAGTCAATCACGTCTTTTACCAGCTTTCTGTTCACATGGAACAATTCACAGCATGATAGGGTGATATGCTAATGTATTGGTGTACTTTATATGTCTTGACTGCTCAGTTGAGCCTATGATGTGGGTACCGGGCCCGTCCTCCTCGGAGCCTCATTACCCCGCCAAATGCGGAGAGCATCTAGGTAACGACTCAGTGGCATAGCAGCAGCGATAGCAAGACAGCTATTTGAGACCCTCTAAGCGCTGGTGGCACCTTTCTTCATATTGTACTCAGCAGCTACTGCAAACAAGTCTGCATCTTCTTCTGCACGCCACCTCTAGCATCACACATCAGCAACAACGCTTCATTAACACACACTACTAGCCGACTTCCAACCAATCAACTGAATCATGTCACAGCCTCACCAGCGCATCCTGGATTCGCACATCCATCTCTGGCCCTCGACAGCAACGTCATCTTCTGAACATGGCTGGATGACACCCAACAACCCTCTCGCCAAGCGCCACGGAATATCAGACTACCTGTCCATAGCCTCGTCACCACCCCCCACCGGGTTCATATATGTAGAAACAGACCGCTACCTTCCATCACCTATTCCTAGCGACATTTCCTCTTCTCCATCTAGTGAAAAAGAAATTGAAGAGGCGAAGCAGAAACTCTCACAATGGGCCGCACAACCACTAGAAGAAATAAAATTTCTCCGACGGATTGCAGAAGCGAAACCAGATGACGGTGATGGATTTACCCCGCAGGAAGCAGATAAAATGCTCGGATGCGTAGTATATGGTCCCTTGCACTTGTCACCTGTTTTGTTCCGCATCTACCTTGAACTAGCGGAGCAAACCGCTGGACCCAAGTTGTGGAGCAAAGTTGTAGGATTTAGGTATTTGCTCCAGGGAAAGGGTGATGGCGTTGTGCAACGCATGTTGCAAGAGAATGAAGAATCGTGGGTTAATAATCTGAGTGTTCTGAGACGCGGAAACAGTGGTAAGGGCTGGGCCTTTGATGTCGGGGTTGATATCAATCGAGATGGGACTGGACCCATGGAAGCGGTTGGCAAGTTGATTGCGAGGGTAAGACAGGAAGAAAAGAAAGAAGGTGTTGAAGAAGGAAAAGGGGTGAGGTTCGTGTTGAGTAAGTATCACTCTTTTTCCCCCTCAATTCTCCTATCTGAAAATATTTTTCCATCAAATACAATCAAGACTTGGAAAATCCCAAACTAACACCGAACCAGATCACCTCGCAAAACACCCCCTCTCCCCTTCTGCCCCCATCCCATCCCCCATCTGGCTCTCCTCCATCTCTTCCCTCTCTTCTGACCCCTGTGTATCAATGAAATTCTCCGGTGCTCTCAACGAATTCATAGACACCCCCAGCACCCCCTCTGACCTCCTCACTCTCGTCAAAACTCTCTCCCCCTTTTTCAACCACGTATTCCAGTCCTTTGGCGCCCGCAGGATTCTGTTCGGCAGCGATTGGCCCGTATGCAACGTCGGTGGGCCAAACGGCGAATCAGGGAATTGGTCGTTGTGGAGGGAAGTGGTGCAGGGGTGCTTGGAGGCCAAGGGGCTGAGCGAGGAGGAGAAGGAGAGTGTGTGGTGGGGGGCCGGATGTGCAGCGTATGCTTTGGATGTGTGAACCTGGACTCGACTGAATTGGGTCCGGAGGTCGAAGGAAGGAAGGAAGGAAGCGGGGAAGAAGGAGGGGGGAGGGGAGATGGCGAAAGTGACGTGACATGACCTGATTTCCTACTCTTTCTTCATCACCCAAAATGAGCTTTATATTGCACATGGCATCGTCATTTTCGTAGCTTAACGATTTTATATTTAACTCTGTGTTCTCTACATTGCAAAGTGGTGGCACATAAACCTATAAACGATCCCACCCCAAAAGGAGACCTACACACGCACTTTATCCCCCCAACGACCCCCCTTGCTTCCACAACTTCATAACCCGTCATCCACGAAGGGAAAAAATATCAAGAAGGAAGAGAATCTAAATAAAGATCACAAGACCGATCGACTACACATCACCAACGTACTCCTATCCCTTCACTCCGGCACCCAAACCCAACTCTCTCTCTCTCTCTCTCTATACGCTCTTACATCGCCATGTCACCAAGACAAACTACCTACATACCCAATTTATTCCCGCGGAACCCAAATCAAACCCAGGAGTCCCCCAACGATGGGCTTCGGTATCGCACTTTTTCCTTGACCTACGTAACATGAATTCCGCAAATCATCAGCCTCGGTAGCAGTCGTCAATATACCTACCTACCTACCTACCTACCTACCTACGCAAACCTATAACAAGCTCAAATATATACCTCAGCATCACCCATGTGATCAAGACTGAATTTATCGAGTCCCAGAAAACTTAAACTATGGGCTTCATACAATCCCATCTGTGTGGCAAAAAAAACAACAACAACATAAAAGGTATGTAAAGCAAAAAAAAGCCCTAAAATGCATAATTTCCGGGAGGGTATACAACTATTCAAAAGCACTAACTTTTCCCCCTTTCTCCCCCTCCACAAATCCCCCACCTCACAAACTCCCCAAGCAACACCCCAAACACCACCTTCCCCACCTTCCCCTCCTTCTCCCCCCTCACAACGCCCAGATAAGCCCCCAGCTCGCCATCATCCGTAATCTGCACGCCGACTTCTCTCCCCTCCGCACCCCCCTTATACGCTATCAGACCTTCTAGTTTCCGGACTTCGGTACCCGGGTGCTCGCGGGTAGCCAGGGTGTGGAGTTCGGATAGAGAAGGGGAGTGGAGGATGGAGAGCCAGAGGGTTTTTGCTGGAAAGGGGGTTGAGGAGTGGGGGTGGAGGCGGAAGTAGACTGGGAGAGGGGTGAAGGAGGAAGAGGAGGATGTGGTGCTGGTGCTGGTGTTGGTTGAGGGGGGGTAGTATGTGTGTTGGTAGTGGGAGGCGGGTTGGTATTGAGGGGGTTGGTAGCGTGGTTGGGGTGGGTAGTCTGGGGTAGGGAGGATGGAGGCGTCGCTGGCGGCTAGGAGGAGGGAGGGGTCGATTTGGAGGTCTGAAGCGGTCGGGTAGGATGGTTGTGGTGGTTCTTCGCGGGTCATGTTTGCATGTGGGCGCTCTTTGGTGCTCAGTGTTGTCAAGTGAGTAGCGACAACAGGTGGTGCAGGTCCTGGGCCTGGTCCTTGGTGGACCTGGCGCTTTTTGTTTGGATCTTTAGCTGCGTTCTCCTGTTGTTGTCTCTTCGTGACGTCTCGAGCCAGAACTTCGAGCGCTCTTAGTTTCCGCGCATAGTCTGGATCGTTTTCGCCTTGCGAGAGTGCCTTTACTAGGTGCTCAGACTCGTTGACCCAGGCCTGCTTCAGTTCTGTCCACTGTGCTTCACCCGCCTCGAGTTTGTTCGTAAAATGAGCTGTTCTCAGTTTCTCGGCAAAGGCACTTCGTACGCGTCTCGTTTGCTCGGGGTTGAGACCAAGAATGTTCTTCGCGTCGGCGAGGCTCATCCGTGTATTCAAGGTTCGTAGGCGCTTCGTGACATCCATGCAAATGACATCTAGCGACAAGGCCCGCTGGCCTTTTGGTCGAAATAATGCATCGTAATTCTGTAGCACTTCAGGTTCCTGCTGGAAGACCTCTGTCAAATGTGCATTTTCCTTGATAAGCTGCTGTACAATCTGCGCCCACTTCTCAGGGCCAGCAATCGTCTTCTTGACAACCTCCTCAGCCTTGCAGATATCGAGAAAACGCTCTCGTAGCTCGCGGTACATGTTGTTGTCAAGACAAAGGTACGCCTTCGCTTCATCAATCGTCGTCTCAGACGGGAATCGAGGAGGCTCCCCAGGCGCATCTGCAGGCAGCCCTGCCCAACCGCGGGTTCGTCTTCGTCGTTTCCGCGTACGCCATTTCTCGTCACTCTCGGCCTGCAGTTGTTGCTGTCGTAATTGTTTCCTAAGCACCTCCTCTGGGCTCAAGCCAACAGTGTCGGGTTCAGGGATTATAGGTCGCGCTTCTTCCGACTGTTCCGCAGACCCATCGTCGGCCTGCTCCTCTTCCCCACTCTCATCCTCGCTTGATGTCTCTTCTGCTAGTATCGTGTTTCCAAGCTGATTTATGAGGCCTTTACCAGGTATAACCTTGGGTGCCTTTTTCTTTGCCTTCTTCTGTATTCGCCCATCGGTCGTCGGTGCCTTTTTCGGCTTGGAGACGCGCTCTCTGAGCAAAAGCTTGAGTCTGAGCCGCAGACGAAGCAGTTCGCGGTCGTTGATATCGAAGCCCTCAGCCTGCAGAATATCCATCATCTCCTTCTGAGTACAATTCTGTTCCCATAGTTGCTGGAGCCGTGCGACGAGAGCGGGGTTTTTGTGCGCCGGATTTTGCTTGCTCGGAAAGTCCCATCGCTGCCATTGAGTCAATCGTGGTGGAAAGAGACTGATTACTGGCGACGCACCTTGAACTGCGTTTGAAACGCCCGCTTACTGCAGAAACACAGTCAGTATTGCCTTGTTCAAAGATAGGTTAAAGAGAGCTCAATGACAGCTGCAAGAGGTACGGCGACCTGGACACGCAAAGGCGCAACAATCCCACATACCTAGGAGTAAACCCCCGAACCTCCCAATATGCTATGACTTCCTCCAGACTCTTGCGCTCCTCGACATAGAGGCGATAGCACACAGCCTCTTTGTCATCCCAAGAATAAACCATTGGTGCAGGTCTGCGACACGGCCGACCAAACTATGACGGCAAACTATGGCAGGCGTTTCGCGTCCGTTGCGCAGTTTGCCAAGAACCCGCCTCGGCATGGAATACACCGACGGCACTACTTCACCTCCTCGGACCTATTATCGTGGCCATTTAGCGCAGCAGCGCAGCATATGTATCTCGTGGCCTCTTGAACGGGCCGTCATGATCTCAATTAATCTGCCGCTTGCGGTGTAAGAAAAATCTATAGCCTATATACCTTTCTGCAACTCTCCCTCCCTTGAATTATATCTCACGTACCCCGCTGTCTACCACGACTACCCTCTCTGTTAACCACACACTCCCGCATTTACATACGTGATCATGTCGCACGCACGCAAGAACAGTCTATGGACGCCCCCAGTGGTGCAGACGCCGAAGCTGCTAACCGGTAAATCCATGATGATTACCGGCGGCGTGACGGGTATTGGCCGCGCCATTGTCCTCGGATACTTGCAGCACGGCGCAAACGTCGCAGTGAACCACTTGGGAGACGACAAGTCCTCCTCGCAGTACCAGTCTCTGGTCGATGAAGCCTCCCACATCCTTGATGTGAGCAAAGAAGACGTAGAAAAGCGACTCGTCCAAGTACCCGGCGATGTCGGAAACCCGGAGACGGGCAAGAAAATGGTGACAGCGGTGGTGGAGCGATGGGGACGCTTGGATGTAGTTATAAGCAACGCGGGTATCTGCGAGTTCAAGGAGTTTCTAGAGTATGTATCCAAAACGTATTTAGTGTGCGAAGCAAAGTGATGGAAAGCTAACATATTATCTCGTAGTATCTCGGAAGATCTCTGGACCTCGACCCTAAACACCAACCTCACAGGCGCATTCCATACCATCCAAGCCGGCGCAAAGCAACTCTCGACCCAGTCACCCCCAGGTGGTTCCATAATCGGTATCTCGTCCATTAGTGCACTGGTCGGGGGCGCGTACCAGGGCCACTACACACCTACGAAAGCTGGTGTGCTCTCGTTGATCCAGTCATCGGCATGTGCGCTAGGAAAACACAACATTAGGTGTAATGCTCTGCTGCCTGGCACTATCAAGACACAGCTGAATGAGAAGGATCTGGAGGATGAGACGAAAAGAAAGTACATGGAGGGCAGGATACCTCTGGGCCGTACAGGCGTGCCCAGTGACCTTGCTGGTCCAGCCGTCTTCTTGGGCAGTGACTTGAGTTCCTATGTTAATGGGGCCCAACTGTTGGTTGATGGCGGGCTGTTTGTAAATCTGCAATAGATGTAGAAAGGAAATGCAATTAGATCAATTTACGAAATGTTCACATGTCACCTCTTCTTCCGTGCCAACAAGCTCTGTGAATTCCCTAGCTCCCATCTAGCATCCTCACGCTAGGTTCTGCAAACGTACCAAGGGAATCCACAATGTAGGCGCTGCTGTATTATGCATCATTGCATAGTGTAATACGCGAGATGAAATGACAGAATACAATAATTTTGTTCACTTTCAACCGGAACAATCGACTCTCTACTTTGTGAACTTGAAACCAGTCAAGATGAACGGCGTAAACATCACATAGAAATGACCTAATAACAGTGAAATGCCCACTTTTGTCCCAGGTATGGTGCCAACTCCGTCGCTGTGATACCCATGGATAACGCCGATAAACACAAAATGCTACATTGTCAATGATGCGCCTTCACCATAAGACGCCGCATCGATTTCGCAACGCTCATAATAGACCTTCGGATTAAGTAACCTGTAATTATGTCAGAACATGATTGATGCATTTACATCCGGCCATCATCTGATGATTGGATGTGCTGCTGTACGCAAGCATTAGACAAAATAAATGTACTTACCTCAGCAATATTCTGGCGCTCAATGTAGCTTTCCTGATTCGCATCTCGTCCCACACGCCAATACACATCAGTGTAATCAGCGCAGTTCATCTCACGCAAGAACTGCTCATCGTGCGTAATGACCAGCAACTGGAAGTTGGCCTGCCTCCTGCGACTCTGAATGATCTGGGATAGCGACTCTGCAAGTCCCTTGATGTTCTGCTGATCAAGATTGGTAGTGGGTTCATCGAGCGCGATAAGACCGCAGTTTGTACCGAAACATTCAGCAAGTGCGAGACGAATGACAATTGAAGCGAGGACCTTCTGGCCTGCAGAACAACGACCCCGCATGTCCATCTCGGTATCTTGCTTGACCATTACAACACGGTAGTTGTATGTCCGATTGCCTTTACCATCACCGTCAGATGCAATGCGGATCGTATCCACGTCTGTACCCTGGTATGCATTCCGCCACAGTTCAGCGAGGATACGGTTGATTTCCTCCATCTTGAGCGTGTGGTACTTCATAATGGCCTTATCTAGAGCGCCAGCATAACGACCCAAGTCTTCAATGGCAGCCTTGGTAGTTTCGACCTTGATGTGTGCCTCACGATATTGCTGCGCGGAATCTTTGTAGAGGTCCTTGTACTCATCCATGAGCTCAGTTAGTTGGTCGTCTTTATTCTTCATATCCCGTTCAACGCCTGTTTTCTCAATATTCAGTTGACGGTACTGTAGATCCCAGTGCTCGGCTTCACGCTCGTAATGCTCTTTATCGCGCTCAGCACCCTGCTCCTCAAGCTGTCGAATCTCCGATTCCAAGCCCTGAAGGGAGCGCTTCGCTTTTCGATAGCGAAGGTTGTCGCTGATGGAGCGTTTGCTTGTCTCTGTATCGCGTATCGTGTCTTCAATCTTCTTAATCTTTCGAGTCGTATCGGTCATGTTTGCCTCTATGCGAGCAATCTCGCCTTGAAGATTCTCAATCTCTCGGTGAGTCTGAGCAAGTTGCTGCGGACCGCCACGTTCGATGTAAGCAATGATCTCTTCGCTCGCCTGGTTGAGTTGGCGAAGACTGTCCGACAACCTTGAAGCTTCGTCGTGAGCTCGTTGGACACGCTCATTGCCACGACGGTTAACATCATCGTACTTGTATTGCGCTTGCTCGATTTCAGGATCAATGTGTTCAATATCCTGATCAAAGCCGCGCATGGCCTCTCTTTGCTTGTTGTTTTCCTTCTTCAACTCATCAACCCGATCAGAGAGAGCGCGCTTCTCCTTCAGCTTGGATTGTGCACTATTCAGCTCGGCGCTAATATCACGTACACTCAACTCAAGTGCGTTGATGTTGCTGCGTGACTTGTCTCTGGCCGCAGTAAGCTGGTCAAGTGCGTTCCTGATGTCGCGGCTATCGTCAGAAACCCGCTTTAGGTCGGTCTGGATGGCATCGATTCCCCGCGACAGCCCGGCAGACTTTTGCTTTTGTGCCAGCTCCTTGATTTCAGCCTCAAGCTCCCGTACCCTGGTGTAGTATCCAACAATGGTTTGTACCTCTTTCGTCAAAGACTCGACTTCTTGTTTGGCGGCATCCAACTCATAAACCACAGCGTCCTGGTCTTCAAGTTGCTTGTTGAGAGTCTCTCGCTCCGATGCTAGCTTAGCAAGGTTCGCCTGCATCGTGGGAAGTTCAGTGTTACGAAGTCTACTCGCCAGTTCATAACTAGGTTTGGCGCTGCGAGCCGCCTCCAGCTCAGTGAAGATTTCGTCCGCATTGTCTGCATCCATGTTCTTCTTCGCTCTGGCAATGATGTCCTTCAACCCTTTTATGAAACCAGCTGTAGTGAAATCTTCCTCGTGATCATCGTGAAGAGTCCTTTTGCAGAGCCGACAGATATTGTGCTGCTCGGCGTACTCTAAGCACTTGCCCATATAGTCAATCTGTGCCTCAAATTTGGCCTTGTCTGAGGAGACGGCTTCGTATTCCTCCTCAAGTTGTTGCAGAGTCTCGTCGAAATCGGAAATGTCGTCCTTTTGTATACATTTTTGGACCGAGGTTTCGTATTTTTGAAGCTCAGCGCGCTTCTGTTTCACTTGCGATTCCAAGCTGGATAATTGGAAGGTGACCTGATCCAGCTTCGATTGCGCAATATCACGACGAGATGCAGCCTCCTTCGCTTTCTCCGCCTTTTCGGAAAGCACCTGCTGGTAGGTTGTCTCCAAGGTAGATGGATCCCAGTCTGAATCAACGAGCTGGGAGATGCGTTTGTCATGAACTTTCTTCATAGTTGCCAAGCTATGTTGCTGGTTCTGCAGCTCCTCCCGCTTCACGTCGATAGAGGCAGATTCCCGCGCTTGCTTCGATGCGTCACCAAATTCAGCAGTTAAGCGTTCTTTGCGGTCCTCCAATGTGCGCAAGTTACTCGAGGCTTCTGATATGCGTTCATCAAACCGCTCTGAAGTAGCTGTAGCTGTAGCATCTTGCAACTGCTTCTCGACATCTCGTTTCTTGGCTTCAAGAATGGCCTCGCTGCCTTCGTCCGCCCTGATCTGATTCATAAGTTTTTGGAGCTCTGAAATGCGCTTATCGTTATTCGTTATCTGACTACGGGCTGACTCTTTGCTCTGGCTGAGTCCAGATTTACGTGTGTTCAACTGGTTGAGGATCTCTTGGGCCTCACGCAAATCGCGCTGGGATTCTTCCCGTACTCGATCTAGAGCCTTGTTCTGGTCGCGAGACATCTTGGTCAAAATCTGCAGGAAGTCGGCCACGTGTTTCTCCGTGATATCGTAATCAAATCCTCGGATAGCATGTCGCTTTGCTGCTTCCTTGATTGCATTCTCGCGGTATTGAATCTGCTGCTCGTGCTGCTCTTTCTGTGCCTCGTATTTTCCAATCTCGCTTTGCTTTACTCCTAGCGCATCGCGTTTGTCTTCCAGATCACCCTTCAGTTCAAGGTATTGCTCTTTAAACTCTGTAACTTGTGTGGAGTATGTAGCGACTCGCTCCTCGTACTGATCCAGCATATCCTGAAGCTCCTCATCTGACTCGGCCAGCTCTTTGAGGCTGTCTTGCAGCTCTGCCACGTTTTGCTGATTGATGCTGAGTGTCATACGCTTAGCGTGTAACTGAGCAACGATCTGCTCGAAACGCGCAGCGTGGCTGTAAGCGTCGCTCGCTTTATGCTGGGCCTCGGTGCATTTAGAATCCACTTCTGTGTACGTTTCGCGCAGCTTCTCGATTTCGTCAAAGAGTTTAGCCTGTCTGTCCTCGCTCTTCTTTGCCCTCGTCTTGTCCTCTTTGGCATTGGCTTCGATGATCTTGAGTTGGCCGAGGTCGACGTTCCGCGCTTTCCGAATCATCTTGATGTTGTCAATGGCCTTTGTGTATTTCATCGCCTCGAAAATCTCGTCAAACTTCTTCTTGAGAGTGGTGGGGTCTGCCAATGGCCACAAGCTGTCTTCCTGGTGGCAGAAAATGACATTCTCAAGTATAGCCTTGGATACGCCTAGGTATTGGGGGATGATTTGGTCGAGTTCGGCGACACGGGTCGAGATTGAGTGCTTTTCGCCATCCTTGATCATGAGTAGGGAACCCTCGAGCGTCTTTTGGCTGCGGGCGTTCTTCTTGACGGTGACCTGGAGATTGCGGGTGGCGACCATGCGCACGCCGGAAGTTGAGCGAAAGGACAGTTTGACCTGGGCGAGGAGTTCCTTTTCGTTGCGCAGCTTGGGGTCGTGGATGAAGGCGCCGCCGGATTTGCTGTTTGTAGGGAGGTCACCGGTGGTGGCATATTTGAGCGACTCAATGATGGTTGTCTTGCCGGAGCCGTTCCAGCCGACAATGAGGGTCAGCGGCGCGGTGAAGACGATAGTCTCTCCTTTTTCAGGGCCAAAGGAGCGGATGCCCTGGATCATCATACGGTCGATCTTGGACATGGCGGCGGTGGCGGCGGTGGCGGCGGTGGCGGCGGTGACAGCGCTCGGAGGGCGCTGCACTCTCTTGCCTTTGGCCTCTAGTCGTAGTGGTGGCTGTGGTGATGGCCGTGGTGGTTGTGGGGGGTTGTGGTGGAGTGGAGGGGCACCTTGTCGCGTCGTGCTGGCAGCGACACGTGACGGCAGCCTGGAGTTTGTGGGCCAGCCCGACGCGGTGTCACGTGACAATAATGATGACGTCGTGTCTGTGCTGGGGACAGCCTAAGCAAGCATTGTGGCTGCGGGCGTCGGTGATTGTTCTCCTAAGCGCAGCCTTGCCGGTGAGAACAGGACAGCGGCCGCCATGACAGGCGCCGAATGCTCAGACATCCAACCTCCCACCTCCCCCCAAAAATATTCCATCCATCGCCAGCCCGGGCAGACGCCCTGTACCTCCCCGTGATCCCGCCCGCCTGTACGACACCGCATGCTGAGTGCCGCTGCGGTGTACTGCGACACCGCCATGGCGCAATACCCGAACGGTGGTGCTGAGGTACGCGCGACCCCACTTGCTGACTAGGCTGGGCAATTCTGAAGATGGTGACTTGTAGATGGGCCTCAACTCCATGGCTGGGATCCCGATGCACCCTCACCGTCCGGACCTCAGCGGTCTGCCAATGGACAATGTAATGCAACATATGGACCTGGACATGTCTTCGCTTGACGGCACAGACGGCCAGAGCAGCGCTTTCGCTTTTGCCGACCCACAAATGCAGCAGTCGGCCGTGCCACCAAACAACACCATGGCCACCGACATGCAAATGACGGGCGCCGGCGCAGGCCCGCTGCCTACGGGCTTTGGCGCTCCCAATATGAATCCCTCTGGCAGCACCCTCACCGAGTTCACAAAGCGCCGCAACTGGTCCCAGCGCGTGCTGGAAGAGCTGCGCGACCTGCTGCACATTCTAACCCCCGACGGCAGAATCCTCTATGTCTCCGCATCGTGCAAGTCGTTGACCGGCTGGGAGCCCTCGCATATCATGGGCCGCTTCATTAACGAATTTATCCACCCGGATGACATTGGAATCTTCGTCAAAGAGTTCAACGAATCCATCGCCTCAGGCAACCCATTGCGCTTCTTCTACCGCTTCCGCAAGACCGACGACTCGTGGATTATCTTCGAGTCCCATGGCCACCCGCACCTCAGCAGCGACACAAACACGTTCGCGCCGCCAAACGCCATCAACTGCCGCGGTTTCTTCATGATGGCCCGCCCCTACCCGACCAAGAACGCCGCCCTTCTCGACTCCTTCCTCGAACACAAGATTGAAAACGAGCGCCTCATGAAGCGCATAGCCGAGCTCAAGCGCGAAGAGCAGGACGAGCAGGACGACTGGGCCAAAAAAGCCGACAACGCCACAACCTCCATGACACCCTCTGAGTCGCACGTCACCCAGAACATGAGCCAAGCAGATGCCGCGTCATACGCACAAATGCCGCCGCCGGCGAAACCGGTCGTATCAAACACTGCCCTCACGCGACAAAACCTTGATGAAGCCCTTGCTGCAAGTAAGCCCGACAGCATCAACGACAAGATGGCGCGGTATGAGGGCGCGAACCATCTCGAAACAATCGAGATGTTGACCGGTCTGCGCTACAGGGACGGCGAGCGCTCTCAGGGTATAAGCACAGGCGATGCTAGTCCTAACCTCATACGCGGTGATGCAGGCATACAAATATCTCTAGACCGCGACGGCAGAAACTCATCAGAAAAGAAGAAGAAACTGAAGATTGCAGACGAGTACGTGTGTACCGACTGCGGAACGCTGGATTCGCCCGAATGGCGAAAAGGTCCAAACGGACCGAAGACGCTCTGCAATGCTTGTGGATGTAAGTAAACACCTCTTTCAACCGACAAAATTACATGCTAATCAACTACAGTGCGTTGGGCAAAGAAGGAAAAGAAGAAGCAACAAGGTCCAAACTCGAGCTTGCAAAGTGGCAGCGGCGTGATGCATACACCGGCAATGCCTATGCATAGTAGCACTGGCAGCAGTTGAGCCTTTGAAAGGCCGCACATTCAGTCACTGCCGATTTCTTTTCTCTCACCCAGTTTGACTTGAAAATAAGCGATTTGGTCAGGATCTAATGCGGCGTCTTGTGCTATTTACTTTTTCTGGAATCTCATCAACGGGCAACATGGGACGGGCATATCAACGGCGTTGAATCTGTACACTTTTATCATATATTCGGCTTTGTTGTTTCATTGCTGATTGGCAGAAAAATTCCCAAGACCATGGATAGACTCGGACCGGGCACGTGATACCACTGTATTTGCCGATTACAAGTAGCGTCAACATATGTAGAATCTGTCTCTATCTCTATCTCTATTACAGCAGATCATCTTTTTAATCTGTAGGATGTGAGTCTTTTCTTTTCTTTTTCTGTCGTGATAGCTGTAAGTAGCGCAGATAGTTGTTCACATGACTTGGAATCCATAAATACGCCGATCACCATGGCAGAATGCAATTTCCACATCGCACTTTCTTTCCGATTCTACGAGAGCAGAGTCACGAGAGCGGTTTCCTGCAGCCTTTTGTCCCCACCCACCTGGCTATCTGCATCTGGCCCGCGTTTAGCGCTGTGCTTAAAAACACCACACTCATGTAAGTGGTCCAGCTAAACAAAGAGCGCCGCTGACATCATGGTGCTTGCTATCTAGCTACGTTGAGCGGGTGGTAGAGCGGTCAAGAAAGCTGAAAGTATGCTTTCTTTTTCAGTGGATCTGTGGCTGTGACTCTGACTATCTGCATTGTTACCCACTCATTTCTCTTCAGCTTGCTGGCCGCGTGAATCAGCCACATTTCTGTAAGTGATTCACATTTTCTCTCTTCATCACTCCACTCCAGAGGAAAGCGCGGTTCGTTCGTTCCTATTGTTTTCCTGATTTGTTTACAGGATCCTGCTTGATGTTTGATCACCCCGGACAACATTAGGGACCGCCGATAAAGTTATACTTTCGGATAATTGTTTTTTTTTAACTTTCAACTCCAGTATTTACACTCTGCCTTGCCAGGATTTGCTTTCCCCCCGTTTTGTAGACTAACGTTTCACCGCCTAGACCGTCATGTCGGCAATAGACACAATCGGGCTCGATATGGCATGCACGTCGTTCTCACCGCCAAATGAAACCTCACTCCCCCTGTGATCGACGATGCTGTTGTTATACCCATACGTTTCAAGCATCACGATCGAATTCGATTCCTGCCCCGCACTGTCGTGGCTATCATTGAGCGTGTCCTTCCTTGGCTTTGCTTTATTCCGCACCACAGAATGGAAATACCTAGGAGGAGGCGGTGCAGCTTTACGCTTAGCATGACATAATATTCGTGCAAGTGCTGGAAAACAGCCCACAACGATGACGGTTCCCAGCTCAGCCATACTGCGTAAAATTTGTCAGTCTTTCCTTGCATTGGACAGGAATGTCACGTGTACTCACTTTACTATCGCACTCTGCGGGAGATGCCATGTGTAATCATAGCGACGTGCCGTTAGCACCCTGAAGTAAAGTCCAAGACTGGCGATAGCCACGGCTAGCAAGGCTACAGCGAATACGGCAAAAATCTGAAACTTCCTCTTGAGTTCTAGGCTTAGTGTCCAGATGGCCCAAATAGGCACGCACAGGGCCTCGATGTCGGATACAAGATTGACGACGCCAATGGCTATGACCGACGGCTGCCAGTCCAAGCAGTGCCCAGGAAGCAGTGGGTTGCGCATCTTCTCAAGCGGCCAGCAGTTGAAGATGTAGAGGAAGAGGAGCACCGTATATGCGATTGCGTTCGCGACCAGCGAGACCATAATGACCCAGTACACCGCACCACGCAGCTGCGTAGTCAAGATCTTCTTGAGCTGCAGAAACACTGCAGCCTTTGCGAACCCCCCGCTGATGGTATAACAAATGACCGTATTGTTGTAATGATAACTCCCATCCAGCAACACAGCCAAGTTCATATCCCACAAATGCCGCATGACACCCGTCGTACCCGCATGTATTGTCAGACTCGTCTGAGCAACGAAGGCACACCAGGCGATGTACAAGAAGACATCTTCAAGACAGACCTTCCGCATCCAGACATTGACGTAGACGCGTATAGCGATAAAGACAAAAGTAATGACTTGAATGAATGCTGAAGCAATAATCACGGTCTTCAGCCGGTCCGCAGGGTTCGAGAGGTTAGGTGTGATGCCTGGTGGTGGTACGCCCGCTGGAATGCTGCTGAAGTCCATTGCTGGTGTGGTTTGTGCATTCTAACCAGCACTTTGCAACAGAAGAATATACTCAGCGGCGCCCATATATGTATTGATATAGACATCATGGCATAGATGGGCTTGTGGTGCTGCTGAGAGTGATAGTACCAGGGCTCATGTGTGATTGGATACCTGTGGCGACGCCAGGGGCAATGGTGTATTCACAGCAAGGGATGTCCGATTGGGGTTCGTCGGCCGCCTTTTTTGATGCTCTTCGGCTCGCGGTACGTAAGAGGAGGGCTGATGGGAGGGGGGCATTTGGAAGATGGTGGGTGTTGAAGACTCTTTGGTTGTCCGCGGATTTAACTACACTTAGATGCTTTTTGCGGTTTTATGCTTTGGATATTGAATATATGGGTTGCCGGATTAGACTATTCGTGTGACTTCACAAACTGCTTGAAGTGACGGTTTGTGATGGTTCGTTTGCACATTTGGAATATAGGTGTGCATACTTTCAGGACCTTGTGAACAAATTAGCCACCGGATACGTTGGAAGCTGGACACGAATGTTGTGCACTACATGTCGCGCGTGAGGGATTTGCCGTGTACCTTGGGGTCAGCACTCTCTCGTGGTGTGGTGTGGTTCTGACGGGTAATGTACCCGTATACTCTAGGACTGGAGCACCCCCCGCCAAGATACAAAGCCTATCAATGTCGTTCCTTCCGCGGGTGATGAGTATGAGTTATGGCTACATGATTTCTTTTTCGGCTCCAGT